ACAGCCATCAACCCCTTCCCCAGGCTGGCCAGGCACCCCTGCAAGGACCCCCCCCCTGAAGGGAGTATGGCCAGCCTGAAAACAAGCCCTCAGCCCCTTACCCAGGCTGGCCACACACCCCCAGCAGGGACCCTCACCTCATGGGGTCATGGCTGGCCTGAAAACTGTCTCAGCCCCTTGCCCAGGCTGGCACTGTCCCCAGTGGGGACTCCCATCCCAATGGGGACATGGCAAGCCTGAAAACCAACGGAGGGCCCTTGCCCAAGCTGCCCCACCCCCCAAGGGAACCCTCTCACCCTGATCCAGGACACCCTTCAGGGCAAATCATCCAGTCACCTGTGCACCAGGCCTCTGTCTATACTAATAAAATGGTAATATGCTAATTAGACTGGGAGACCTTCCAGGAGACCTTCCAGGAGACCTTCCAGACATTCTTCTGGACAATGTCATGGTGTCGGGGCTGAGGTAGAGGCAGTTAGGGGCCAAGAGGGGAGGGCAGTTGTGAGTGATCAGGCCAGGATGAGATGGCAGTTATGGGTGATCAGGTTGGTGTGGGGGGGCATTTGGGATTATCAGGCTGGTGGGGCAGCAGTTGGGGGCGATAGGCCAGCGGGGGGCAATTGGGGTTGAGCAGCCTACCAGGGGTTCAGTTGGGGGTGAGCTGGATGGCATGGGGGCACTTGGGGGTAATCAGGATGGTGGGGGGGGCAGTTGGGGGCAAGCAGGCCAGCATGCAGAGTGGTTAGGGGCAGACAGGTGGGCAGGTGAGTGGTTAGGAGCCAGCAGTCCCAGATTGCGAGAGGGATGTTTGACTGCTGGTTTAGGCCTGATCCCAAGGGATCCCAGATTGGAGAGGGTGCAGGACAGGCTGAGGGACACCCCTTACCCTGTGCATGAATTTCATTCACTGGGCCACTAGTATGTGTATGTGTATATATACATACTTTATATATATAAAGTTCTTTGGTTAATATCTTTCCAGCCCCCAACTCCCTTCTTCCATCTGAGATTCATCAGTCTTTTTCATGCTTCCATGTCTCTGGAACTATTTTGTTTGTCAGTTTATTTTGTTCATTAGATTCCACATACAAGTGAGAGCATGTGATACTTGTCTTTCTCTGACTTGATTATTTCTTAGCATAATAGTCTTAGCATAATAGTCTCCAGGTCCCTCCATGTTTCTCAAAGGGTAAGCGATCCTTTTTTAACAGCTTCATAGTTTTCCATCATGTAAATGTACCACAGTTTTTTGTTTGTTTTTTAATGCACTCATCTACTGATGGGCACTTGGGCTATTTCACAGGTGTTTTTCAGTTTGTTTTGTTGGTCATGGGTACTTCAGTGCTATTCAGGTCATATGACTTATTTCTCATGGCAAGAACACCAGGAAGATCATTTAAATATTTATTCTGATACTGAAGTTCTGACATGAAGCAGCTGTGCAAACATAAGCAAATGATATAATGTCTAGTCTACAAAGCACCTTGTTTCAAATGCCTAAAACCCCTCAGACCCAAATTTTCTCCTGTCCCCTGAAGACTGAAATACTACAGAGAGCATCTAGGCATCTGCCTAATCATCTGTAGGGATCCTGAATTTCCCTCAAGTTAAAGATGAAAGAGATACAGCACAATTGTGAATTGGATATCAACTTTGCCCTACTCAAAATGTGGGGGTTAGCCCACTCCAGAAAGCACTTCCCCTCCCCAGTTCTATTTCTCCAACTTTCTATCTTCACAGTACTAATTTTGGTGTTGGTACCCCACAGTAGTTAAAAGTATAAATGTAACAACCTCACACAAAAGGCTTACTTACCTCAGTTCATTTAACCCAGGATATCATGCATGGCTTTTAACAAAAATTTATGACATACAAAAAGGCAAAAAATACCATTTGAATAGAGAGAAAAAGCATCAGAACCACACTTAGATGTAGCAAAAATTTTGAAATTACCAGTCTGGGCATTTAAAATTAGTATCATTAA